GTGGGGGGGGCGAGGCTGCTGAAAGGACACTAAGCACAGGTTGTCTTTCAGCGGCGCTGACGTGCAGGTGGATGTGTGCGGCGCAAACCCAAACGCTGGTGTTGCCGTGTAAAGGGGGAGGATAGAAGCAGAACAGGAACATAGGAGCAAATGGAAGGTGGTGGGAAAAAAAAGGAAAAGAAATAGAAATAGATCAATATAATAATAATAAAACGAATGAAAAAAGAGGCTTCGGTGTCTAAGCCATGCCACTCTGCCGGGCGCGCTTTCTCTAAGTTGGCTGTGTCAGTGTGTGTGTTTGTGCACATGTGTGCGTAAATGTGTGTAGTGTGTGCACGCACACACATGCGCGCGCGCGTGTATGTGTGTGCGTCACCGCGAAGGTGCGTGTGTTGTTTTTGTCTGGAAGCTCTGGGCTCGAAGACAACCCCAACAGGGGCCACAACACACACAGTCATCTCCAGCGGTCAATAGAGCCCTAATTTCCCCAAGATAGCGGGGGGGCCCGGGCCTTAAAGGCTGTACTCCGCCTTCAGCGCCTCACATCCACCATCCACACCACAGGGTCTGGGTCCGGGCTTTTTCCACCAAAGCCAGGAGCAGGGGGTGGTGAGGAGGGGGTGAGGGGGGTGAGGTGGTGAGGGGGGTGATGGAGGGGGGGGGGGGGGGGGGTGGAGATGAGGGGTGTAAACTGTTGCTATCAGCCAGGCCCGTTATCCAATGGAAGCAATAGATAGAGCAGCGGTGCCGTGCCCCCCCCCCCCCCCCCCCCCCCCCCCATAGACCAGTAGATAGAAGCTGTCTTCCCAGTCCTTCCACTCATCCTCGTTCTTCCTGAATTTTTCTGTCATCGCTTTGTTTTCCTGCCCTGCTTTCCGTCTCCCTCTCTCTGTCTGTCTGCCTCTCTCTGTGTCTGTATGTTTGTCCGTCCCCCCCTCTCTCTCTCTCTCTCTCTCTCTCTCTCTCTCTCTCTCTCTCTCTCTTCAGACCCTTCCTGCCTTATCTCTTTGCCTTCCCAACCCCCAGCCCATCACTCTCTGACTCCATTTTCCTGTTCTGCCCCCTCTCTCTCTCTCTCTCTCTCTCTCTCTCTCTCTCTCTCTCTCTCAGTGCTTGACTTCTGAGGGTGGCTGTGCATGACTCAAGCAGTGCACAAACGGCACGGCTGCACATTTCTCTGCATGCTCTACAGGCAGCCTAATGGGTGAAATCAAAGTGCTCAAATGCGATTAGATGCAGTACACATGTTGCATTACAATCATAGCTCCTTTGATTCCCGTGTTTTTTTTTTTTTTTTCTCCTCCTATTTTTACATCTTTTTTTTCCTTGCAAACAAAATTCCTCGCACTCGTGGTGCAGCAGATTAGCATCAAACAGTCGAGTATTTATCGAGGTTTTAACACGTGAAGAAAAAAAAAAAATCAACCCCTTTACGTTCAACTTTCCATGAAAAGTAATTACAGAGAGGGGCGCTACGCATTCCACTACCTCGGAGTGCTGTCTGAAAAATGTCCTTCCTTAGTTTTCCCCTTAGTGGCTTATGTTAAATGTATGGAGTGTACTACTTTTCTCTCTGTCCCTCTCTTCCCCCAGACTGAAACGTATTGTATTTGCCGCGGGCTCCGCATGAGTTACTGTTCACCTGCTCCACAAGTATAGCAAGGCAAGGAGCTGCGGAGAACGAATGCTCAGACTCCCACCGATACGCATGCGGGGCGACTTGTTTCTCCAGTGAAATTCAATCTGTTGTGCCACCAAATCTCCCAGGCAGCGATGACTTCTGGGCAGGAGCATGTTTGACTGTAATTATTGTTGCCGTCTTGTTCACGATACGGACCGACAGAACTGCCACGAAAAAAAAAAAAACAGTAGTCCAGGGCTAGAGAGCAGCGAATGTGTCTGTCTCGCGTAAAACGCTTCCAAACGTTGTTAATCGGATGGGTTTATATGTTCGTCTACATCTAATTGTCTATTTGTTTGTCTTTATTGGGTCTTTCTCAAAATGTTTTGGGGGGTTTTATTTCTCGCAGTGTATTTTGTTTTTTTTTCTAAATGTGTTTGTATAACGTTTGTGGCCACGAATGACAAAGTTACCACATAATGGTATCTGTTTAATCATTAGTCCTCCTCATTGGCAGTGCTTCACACACAGTGCATTCAAGCACTGTGAAGTCCCACATAATCATTAACATCCTTTCTCTCTCTTTATGTCTCTATGTCTCCCGTCCTTTCTCTCTCTTTATGTCCCTCTTTATGTCCCTGTGTGTGTGTGTGTGTGTGTGTCTCTCTCTCTCTCTCTCTCTCTCTCTCTCTCTCTCTCTCTCACTTCCTTTCTCTGTCACTCTCACTCTTTCCCTTTGTCTCTGCCTGTCTCTATCATCTTTTTCTCTCTGCATCTCTCTCTCTGCACTCTCTCTCTCTCCCCCCAATAGCTCCGCCCCTATCAGACATTACCATGGCCCCGGCGACGGCACTGAGGACAACAACCAGCGGCGCAACGACCGCGGTGCACCGGGGTGCCTTCGGCAACAACAACAACAACAACACGGGCGGCAGCAGCAGCGGCGGCGGTGGCAGCAGCAGCAGCACCGCCGCCTCCACCACGACCGCGCCCCCCCGGGAGGCCGGCAGGGGAGCGGCCGCCAAGCCCCCCCTACCGCCTGCTCCCCCGCCTCCCGCCGCCGCCGCTCCCGCCGCCCCGCAGACCACGTCCCCCCCGCCCCTGGAGTCCTACCCCCTCCCCGAGCGCTTCTGCGACGCCACCGAGAGGAGGGACATCGTGTGGCCCCAGACCCAGAGGGGCATGCTGGTGGAGAGGCCCTGCCCCAAAGGAACCAGAGGTAAGCACAACAGGCCTCTCGTCTCTTTTCCTCCAGGCCTTCCACCACCCCCACCACCACCACCACCCAGAGGTGTGGAGATGCGTCCCCCCAGGGAGGACATGTATAGTAACAGGTGTGTTGGTCCGATGTGTCGGAAAACAAAGAGCACTGAGGCGCAATCGATATAAAGTCGTCTTACGGCGGAAGGGGGTTGGGGGTTTATAGCGGGCGATGTTTTCCTTTCGCTGTACATCGTTTGAGGTCAAAACACGACAGAGCGATTTCTGGTTCTCCCATAATGGCGTTGGTGTTTTTAGCGTTGCGGTCTCAGCTGTGTACCATGCAGCCGGCGTAGAGGAGATGTGCATTCCACGTTTGTTTGTGTGTGAAATGATGTGAGCTCCCGCGGGGGCCGGTTTCAGCTCACACACACACAGGGTCTAACAAAGCGGGGGGGGGTTGCTTATTTGGGGGGGGGGATCGCTTGATGGAATCGGCCCCGAAGCTTCTGTAAATATTTGCGTTTAGTTTGAGCAGCTCAAGACAAATGTGGCTGAGCGTTTCTCAATGGACTTTGTCGAAGCCACCATAGTTTCTGCTGCTTTCACATCACTCAACAGCGAGAGACACACAAACATACACACATGCGCACACACACACATACACACACATACACACCGACGCTAACACACAACTTCTACTAATATACGGTATAGAATCCATAGTCCATTCTTTGTTTTTCAAAACAAATTGCTGTCTCAGTGAACTCTCCTCGACTAGATTGAACTTGAACTATTTGTGTCTTGTTTTCCCAAACAGGCACAGCCTCCTATTTATGTGTGCTGTCCACTGGGGCCTGGCACCCAAAGGGCCCCGACCTCAGCAACTGCACCTCCCACTGGGTCAACCAAGTCGCCCAGAAGGTTGGTATCAGCTGTATCACCCTGTTTGTGTTACACTCGCCTATACACCTTCTTATATACTAGTCCTATTGGTATAGCAAACACACAAATTATATTGTTGTTGTTTATAGTCATAATAATAGTATTAATAACAATACTATTACTAATACTACTCATGATAAAAAATATTCAGAATCGTATTGATGTGATTACTATTGTTTTATTGTTACTATTATTATTACTGCTATAATAATAATAGTAACAATAATAATAATAATAATAATAACAACAACAACAACAATAATAATACTAATACTAATACTACTACTACTACTACTACTACTACTACTAATAATAATAATAATAATAATAATAATGATGATGATGATGATGATGATTTTAATTATATGTATAATAATAATAATAATAATAATAATAATAATAATAATAATAATAACAATACTAATATGGATATTTTATAGAGTTAAACCAACTAGCAGAGAGGTTGTAGAGTTTGGCCTGAGGCAGCAGTATCAAAACTACTGGACTGCTTAGAGATAATCGACTGGAGTCTTTTTGCTGAAAACAAATAGACCTAAACACTACACCTCATCAGTACTGTCCAGTACTGTACTGTCTGCGCAAAAGTTAATCTATTTGTTAACTTTTGCACAGAAAATGTCACCACTGTTAAGGAAATCCGGGTCAGGATTTTGCTCAGGCATAAAGATGCTGCTTACAGAGCTACTGACACTGCAGCCTGTAGTCTAGCACAAGGCATTAAAGCAGCAAAACTCAAATACAAAGTCGGGATCGAGGACAATTTTAGCAATAATGTCGTCAAGGATTATAAAATGAAAGCTAGCCTGACTGTAAGCAGCAACCCCTCACTGGCAGAGGACATTAGCATGTTCTTTGCCTGCTTCGACAGAGATAACAACAGTATGGAAATGGATAGACTGCCACCAGATCACTATTGATTGACACTGAACATTGTCGAGGTTAGAAGGGCACAGCACAGCGTTGCACTCACCCCGGTGATAGCCAAAGGCTTCTAGAGGCTGATTTTGGCCCACATCAAACGTACTCTCCCTGCCACCATGGACCAGCACCAGTTTGCCTACCAGGCAAACAGATCAACAGAGGATGCGATCAGCCTCGCCCTCCTTACCGCCCTGGGTCACCTGGAAAGACCAGACACGTACGTCAGGATGCTCTTCTTGGACTTCACTTCAGTGCATTACTAAGTTCTTACTAGTTAGGACATTACTTACCTGGTCCTGACTAGCTCAATTGGTAGAGCATGGCCAGGGTTAGGGGTTCGATTCCCACTGGGACCACCCTTGCTAAAAATGTATGCAGTCACGATATTGTAAGACGATTTGGATAAAAGCATCCCCCAAATCGCGTATGTTACCTCGGTATTGGTGGTGCAACCAAATTTAGTAAACTTCTAGTTTGAAACTAACTAGTAGTTACGAAGGACTCGACGCACAGACTTGGTAACGAACGTACGCATAGCTGGTGCAACCCAGTCCTCATCTCTAACAGCGACGAGTCAGCATACAGGGATGAGGTATGAAACCTGAAAGCCTGGTGTTCTGCCAACAAACTTATTCTTAACAACAAGAAGACTAAAGAGATTGCAGACGTCAGTAAGACAAGGAAAACAGATCTCGGCGCATTGTTCAGTGTTCAGTGACGGAGAGTCTCCAGTTTTAAATTCCTGGGAGGCACACATCACTGAGGACTTCTCCCAGGGGCCATACACACCTCCACTGTCATCGAGGGAAGGCATCACAACAACACCTCTACTTCCCGAGGAAGCTGAGGAGAGCCAGATGGCCGCATGGTAGCGTGGTCCGCCAGCTGCACCAGGACGGACCAGTTAGCTCTGCAGAGGGTCATCACGACGGGAAACAAAACGTCATTGGGACACAGCTGCCGGAAGGGGAGGACATCTACCAGGCCCGGTGTCAGAGGAAGGGCCTCCAACATCATCCGTGACCCAAGTCACACTGCCCGCCACCTATTAAAACTCCTCCCCTGCGGCAGGCGATACAGGACAATACGTGCATGCACTACCAGACTTGAAAAACAGCTTCTTCCCCAAAGCTGCCAAATTGTTGAACGTGGTTTGACACACAAACCCCCGCCCCCCCCCCCACCCCCCCACTGACTGAACTCTCTACCGTGCTAGATTGCATGCTGCTAATTAGTTATTGTTTATTTATACACCGGTTGCACTTTGATTACTTCTTTCTATATCTAACTATAAAGGCAGGAATCTCTGTGTGTCTGCCTCCCATTCTGTCGATTACCTTGACGGTCGTTCGTCGAATCCACTTTGCAGTCGGCGGACGTATTTGGTGCAATTTGGACACAATACTAGTAGAAGTAGTAGTAGTAGAAGTAATAGTAGTAATAGTAGTACTAGTATAGGAGTAAACTTGTGTCTCCCAATCCCAAAATAAAATAAATAATGAAAAGAAAATACCTTTGCCTCAAATATGAGGGCTAGAAAATATTACTGTTGCTGTTTCATAGTGTAGAAACACCAGTGAAATATTTGTGTGTCACATTGTGTCAAATATGAGGGCTAGGATGTGTTGCTGTTACTTAACATGCTGTTCCTTTGTATAGAAACACCAATGAAATACTGATGTGTGCTATAGGAAAACTCCTGTGACAAACAGGGTGGTTTTAACAAGGGGCTGCCTGGGGCGCCTGGCTGGTAGCTGGGTCCTTATTGTGTTAAAAAGTCCAATATATCCTTGCTGCCAGTCTGCCCTTTATAAAACTCACTACAATAGTTAGCTTTTACCTGACTTAGAGGCCATAATATGTCTGCAAGCAGTGTTTTCACATTGTGTGTTTTCATTCAGGATCTGGTCTGGATATCAACACACACACAGCGCTCAGATTTTACGAATTAGCCACAAACAATTTACGAATTAGATGTCTTTTTATCCAAATCATTTTTTTAAATCAATGTTAAAGATCAGGTAGGGGGTTCGGCAAAATACCCAAAGATATCAGGGTTCAAACCTGAAACCTTTAGGCTCTGGGGGACTCATCCAACGATGTCCCAACCAACGACTAGACCATAAGACACACCGTAACCCCAGTGGCGGACCTAGCAATTTGGGGGCCTAAGGCGAACATAGCCAGGGGCCCTCTTCATCCATTCTTCAACTCGTACTCGTGTCTCATTCACTAACGTAAACAAACCTCTCAGGGCCGGATCAGTAACCCCCACCCCCCCCCCAATCACCCCCCCCCCCCCCCCCCCCCCCCTGGGCACTGTCAGTCCAGAGGCCCGACCGACGGGGGGGCGCGATCGCAATACAGCCCGGACCGACGACCGGCGCGGGCACTGCTGGTTGAGGCGGGGTCAACTGGTTGGGGGCCCCCTGCTGATTGGGGGCCTAAGGCGATCGCCTAGTCCGCCTTAATGGTAGGACCGCCACTGCGTAACCCTTTTTTCTTTCTTTTTTTTAACCCTGTTTGACCTCGGCCGTGCAGATCCGCAGCGGGGAGAACGCGGCTAACTTGGCCAACGAGCTAGCCAAGCACACCAAGGGCCCCATCTTCGCAGGGGACGTGAGCTCCTCGGTGCGCCTCATGGAACAGCTGGTGGACATCTTGGATGCCCAACTGCAGGAGCTGCGGCCCAGCGAGAAGGACTCGGCCGGCCGGAGCTTCAACAAGGTACTGTTGCACACGCCGCCTGTCCTTAACTCAGAACCCGCGAGCGCGCGCACACACACAAACACACACACACACGCACACACACAAACACACACCTAGGCCCACACACTCAAAAACACGTATATACTACGCGCACACGTTGCGCTCGCACACGTACGCTCGCAAATAGACACATTCAAACACGTCCACACACACACACACACACTCTCACGCACGTAGTGTATAACACACACAGACACAGGCTCACACACGTGTAATCACACACGCACTCGATCATACATGTATGTTCGTAGGCACGCACACGCACACACACACACCATATATAGAAATAAAATACACACTCTTGGTCAAACCCTGTGCTCTATTAAGATAAATACTTAATTCATGTTCAATTTAGTCCTCTCTCTCTCAGGGTCATGCTGCCTCAGTAGAAGGTCAAAACCATATAGGTGCAATCCTGACGTGTTCATGTGGTTTAGGCACAGGTGCAGCAGAAAACACACACAGTCCCACATTACAATTTCCCCCCATCACTCCATTTCTTCTCAAAGTCAAAAGGGAAAATATCAAGGACAGGAGCAACAGACACATCATCAACAACAACCACATCATCAACAACAACCACATCATCAACAACAACAACAGCAGCAACAGCAGCAACTAAAATATACTATAATACTATCTCAGGATCTGTCGTGGACATTTGTATTCACAGTGATATTTGTACATTTGTGGTAATTGCTGTAATTTTACTTGCCAGGGCCAATAGCTGTATAATGTGTCAGAGACTCTTGAGTAGAAAATACAGCATGTCATGTCTGGGAGCTAGAAAGGTCTGTTTTTCCTTTTGGCGCCCAGTTAGTCCTAGCTGGCAACACAACACAGTTTGCCTATAGAGCATCTGTTCCAGGTGGTCACTCAGTCATTATGAACACTTCAATTAATAATTCTAATTAAGGTTTTGCAAATTTGCCAATTTGCTAATTTCCTGTTTCTGTGTGTTTGATCTGTTTTTTTTTTGTTTTTTTTCTTGTTTTTCTTTTTCTAATAAAACGAAAGCTTCAAAAACGAGAAAGGACTTGCAGGGCATACATGAAGGTATTGGCGCTATGCTATCCTCCTATGGACTGCTGCACTCTGTTGCCTGCTGCCCACCTCCATGTCTTACGTGTTATGTACCTCCCCCACCCCCTCAGACCCCCAAAACCAGCAGCATGCCCGCTCTGCACACCACCATGTACCCTCACCCACCGTCCCCTACCCTCCCCCTCTTCTGCCTCCCCCATTTATGAGTAATTTGCCTTTATATACACAGCCACAGTTGTAGCCTAAGCGCTTTCCACGCCATAGTGTAGTCATGCAAATTACAATTGTGGCTTATTTCTCTGGTTGCTGTGTGGGCCTCGTTTTCCACCCCTTCCTGCGGTTACAACTGTGGCATATTTATTTGTTTGTTCTGTTGTTTTCTCTTTTTGTTTCCTCATTTCTTTATTTAATTTTTGTTTGTTTTCACAACATTGTTCGTGTCTTGATGGATAACAACCACAATCCCATCATGTTGACATCATCGCATTATTAATTTACTCTATTTGCTCGCCTGTATAAACATTTTCTTCTTTTTTTCCCTCCCTCTTGTTTCCAGTGAGCTGTGTTTAACCTACATGTGTATACAAATACCATAACCAGTGGTAATAGTCACAGCCGTGTAATGTCTTTATTCCAAAGGACTGTAACATGACCTATAAAAAAACCCCAACATGGACGTTCTCTGGCCTTGACACTGGTTTCCATTTGTTTTCATAAATTAGCGACACGTATCTCCAACTCTCCGGTTAAAAGGGTTAGCCATGTCAAACACATTTTTTTAGCACCGTTTACTCTCTCCCCCCCCCGCGCGCCTGTACCAGCTCGTTGTTACTCATCCATATATTCCCTTAACCATTAGGGAGATCTGTGTCCTCCCCTACCACCAATGTCATTCTCTCCCGACCACTCCCCCCCACCCCCCCACCCCCCCACACACACACTCACCACCAACACCACCACTGGCCATAGAAAAAGAAAAAAAAGAAAACGGGCCCTGTGGGAGGGTATTAAAATGGATTGAGCTAATTACCCAGTAGACAGTCATGAGCTTGTTAAAGGGGAGTGGGCAGAGAGAGAGAGAGAGAGAGAGAGAGAGAGAGAGAAAGCGAGCGAGAGGAGAGAGACAAGAAAAAGAAAGATGTAGTTTCAGACCCTCCCCACCGCCCACCCCATCCCTCCCTCCCTCCCTCCCTCCCCCCAATAGAGTCCATGTTATCCTTTTCAGCCTTAGCCCCTGCCAGGGCCACTTATACGTATACATACAATCTCCTCGCAACATGTGTGTGTCAGTTGACAAATGCGTGAATGCGTTTAGACAAGGAGGAGGAGGGGGTGGGGGGGGGGAGTAAGACAAGGAGGAAGAGAGAGGAGAGGGAGGGGAGGGAGGGGGAGAGGAAGCAGTTGTTTGGGTCGATGGTAGGCGACATGGCGACGCATGGGACTAATGAAAGTGCATGGGAAGAAGAGAGGGAGTGAATGGGAGTTGGTGGGTATCTGACGTCTGTCATATTTAATGCGACGGTGCATCAGCCAACTCCCCCCC